AATAATGACCAATCTTTCTATGAAGGTTAGGGATATATATGATGGAGGGGATTATCTTGTCCTGGTGACCACTGACCGTCAAAGTGCATTTGATAGGATTCTTGCTTCAATTCCCTTCAAGGGTCAGGTTTATTTCAGTCATTTTCTTTCCTTATTTTTTTGGGCTATGTAATAAAGTTTGTATTTTTCTTTTACAATTCAATAAAGCCTATTGAATCACGTAGGTGCTGAATGAGACTAGTTTATGGTGGTTCAACAAAACTCAACACATTATTCCCAACGCAGTGGTAGCATCACCCGATAAGAATGTCACCACTCACCATTGCAAAGAAGTGTTCAGTTTTCCCTGTTGAATTTGTTGGTAACATTCCTGTCCAAAATTTGATGGTTGTGTTGACTATGATCTTAATACTGACTTACAACTACTAGCTGCAAAAGTATACTGACAATGAAACTTTTGGCTGTAGTTAGAGGATATGTGACCGGAAGCACTGATACATCACTGTGGACCGTTTACAAGAATGGCGTTCAAAACTATTGTGGCAATGTCCTCCCAGATGGTAAATGCTAATATTTATTACGAGTATTAGACCAATAAATAACTTTGTGAATGTCTACATTGTGTATTTACAATTTTTCCACTTTACAATTTACAGGCTTAGTGAAAAAACAAAAATTGTCAGAAAACATACTTACTCCAACTACTAAAGCTGCAGATCACGATGTCCCTGTAACCCCCGATGAGGTTTATACTGTCTCATAAAATATTTTATTTATTGCTAGAGTTCCTCTTTGGCAGTTAATTAGGTTTAAGTGTCATTTTTGCTTGTTTTCCTACTTCTCAGGCTACTTAGTAAAAAATGAAGCAAAAGAAGTAGTAAAACGACACACTTCCTCCATTTCTTACTGTGTCTCTATACCATATGTAATGCAGATAGTTCAGCAGGGGATAATGAAAAAAGCTGATTATGATGAAGCAAGTAGTAAAGCTTTGAGGTTATTTGAGTTTGGGCAGGTGAGTAGTCATTTCTTCTGATTTTGTGATTTTTGTTTCTTCATTACCCTTCTGCAAACGTAATCCCTGAAAGAAAAGTTCTAAGACAATATTCTGACCCCTTTAATTTATTTTTCATTGTAGCGCGTTGCATCTGAACACAGCCTAATACTGGTGGACACAAAGTATGAATTCGGGAAGGCGGCAGATGGAACTGTTCTTCTGATCGATGAGGCAAATGACTGAAATGTACTCTAAAAAATGAAATATAAAAAATATCTTGTTGTCATGTTTAATAAGAATATAAATAAACTATAATAACCACTTTCAGGTGCAAACACCTGACTCAAGCAGATACTGGATTGCTCCATCGTACCTTGACCGCTTTCGGCATGGTCTAGAGCCTGAAAATGTTGACAAGGTTTGTCATCCTTTTTAATTCAAATATATGTTTTCAACTATATATTTCTATTTTAAATATATCAAATATATGTACTTATATGGTAACTCATATTTATAGGAGTTTTTGAGGTTGTGGTTTAAAAATCATTGCAATCCATATGAAGACGAGGCAAGTGATATTAGGCTTACACGTGTCCTTAATGATTTTGTTTTCTTGCATATATGGTTAATGTTGTCATGATATTCCAATTTTAGGTTTTGCCCGAGGCTCCGGAAGAACTTGTGACTGAACTGTCTGGGCGGTATGTGTGGACATCACACACTCAATCATAATCCCAATTCCATTGTTTCTATTGTTGTTAAAGTCTATTTAATGTCATGTTTCTTTTGAAGACTCAAAACAGACAATTATAAAAACACAAATCTAAGGTTTTGGGTTTCCTTCTAATATATATGGCATTTTAGATATAAATATAGATTTTAGGGAAAACTATCAAATAAGCCCCCGTACTATATCAAAAAAGTCGATTAGGCCCTTGTACTTTACAAATGCTCAATTAAGTCCTTGAACTATTAAAAAACGTTCAATTAAGCCCTTTTGGTCGGTAAGTAACCGGTTTTCCGGTTAAATGTAACTCGTTTCCCAGCAGCCGCCGTTGCTGGGGTTCGAGCACATCGTCGCCGTCGTCGCCGTTTAACCGGGAAACCGGTTACTTACCGACCAAAAGGGCTTAATTGAACGTTTATTAATAGTTTGAGGACTTAATTGAGTGTTTGTAAAGTATGAGGGCCTAATCGACTTTTTCGGTATAGTACGTGGACTTATTTGATAGTTTTCCCTAGATTTTAATATGGTATTGGAGCATATCATGCTAGACTAAATAATTTGGTATCCGTATGCTTATAAAGCACTTCCACTGTCCCGATAAATTTTGCCATTTATGACTTGCACAGGAAATAAGAAAGTAAATTGGATGATTGATGTTTGTGTGGAGAATATGGATAAAATAGAAACCTCAAATTTGCTTTCCAAAGGGAAATTGACACTTTATGGTTTAGCGAATTACAAAATATTCTGAACTTTGGCAACCCACTTAGTTTGCTCTGTTTAACTTTTTGCATTTGGATTGTTTTTTGCTCAAAATGACAGTTACATTTTCTTGTTTGAGACGATAACAAGAGCAAAATTTGAGCTTCCTTCCACAAAGGTAATAAAACCTTAAAGGTATGAATGTATTTATTGTTTTCTTGAAGTCTTTAATGAAGTCATGTTCTATGCAGGAGCCTATCCATGATCGGATTTCCAGAAATGTGTCACAAGCTCTGTCATCTCTGTTATAAAATGGAATTGACCGTAAAGAGGAGGGATGACTATTTCTTTTCTGTATTTTGATACACTATCGACATGGGAACACCCCAAATAAAGAAAGAAGGAAATCTGACACAGGAAGACTGTCATTTTTGAACATTTCAGCAGTTAGAAAAGTTTTGAGGAGATTGAGCAGAAGGTAACTATCATCTCCACTAATCCAGACACACTTGTAATAGTGCAAAACATTTTTTTTTTGTAAAAATAGCACATCTAAATAATTACTAGTATTTCACTTATTAGTAGTCCTTTTATTGAGGTGCAATGTTTTCAATATTTATCACACCTTATTTGGTTTTCTTTCTTGTAAATCCATTATTTTTGTGCTCTCATATCCATTGCAGTATAGTGTTGCCCCTTCCATTAAGGTGGCTACACATCAAAGTTGAAAGTTCATTAATAAAGGTTGAATTGTGTGTTATTAAATTTATGTAACGTGAATATTAAGTGTGAATGAAGTTGAACTTAGGGGCGGCCCTGGGCTAAAAAGAGAATGATTTTTAGGCCCAGTATTTAGGTTTTGTACCAACGGGGAGTAGGATGTAGTCCAGTAAACTGATCCAGTCAGAAAGGCCCAGCTGCCCAGGCAGGGAAAAAAAATTCAAAACAAAAGACAGGCTCCTGCTGGGCTGCTATCGTTCTTTCTAATTTCAAATTTTCTAACCTTTCATCAACTGTTGTCAGCTGAGGTTGAGCCGAGTATCCGGCTACTCATCTGTCGAATGACCCGAACGCGGCTGCTAAATCGCTAATACACTGTAATCGCGTAATGCTTGGGAGTTGGGAGTGTTTGCAACGGGAACCTTTGGGACTTTGGAGTCACTCCAGGCTCTAGGAGACGATAGATGTGTAGGGAACCTTCTCCAACGAGATAAATACAATAATCATATTGATATTTTTTTTATCAATGATGCTAAACTTTGACACATGATATTTTTGTATAACAAAATAAGTATGTAATAAGAAGATATAAAAAGTTATAACGTGTATTTAATCATGTAGGAATTATCTCAATTTGGGACTTAAACAATATGCATTCACCATCAATAAAGGATGTGAAAGATAAAATATGTGGATGTAACTACATAAGACCCGAATCATTGAAAAATATGTCAATAATTTTCATGTTTTTTATTTAAAAATTTAATATTATTTATTTTATTAAACTAATAAACTTTTGTTAAGGAAAACCATAAAAAAACGGGTTTAATAAAATATAAATAAATCAAAGTATACGATATTTTAGGTTTTTTATTTATAGGATGAAATCTCGAACTCTATATCGGCAGATTTTATCTTTTAACTCCATCAATTATTGATAGTAAATCTAAGTTTGAAGTCCTAAACTAATAAAATTTGATTATATACCATTGATGAATAGAATTTTCAATTATTCAATATCGTTCTTACCTATAGTAGTTAATGCAGAACATGGCCAATGTTTTTGAAGATGTCTTCACCCTTCACTTTAACTTACAAAATATTTGAAAATACTATAAAGTTTACACACACTTTAAAACTTTACATGCAAAATGTAAAGTACACATTAAAACTTTACATGCAAAATGATTGAATGTAAAGTTTAGGACGGTAAAATAGTTTGCATGTAAAATAAAAATACATTGTTTGGTTATGTGTGTAATCTATTTTTAAATTACACGCACACTCTTTACATTGTTTGATTGGAAATTAACTTCACATGTAAAATATGTAAAAAAAAAATCACTAGATCGCCTTTTGACCTACTAAATCAGTGCTCTTATCGTCAATCATACCAAAAGCAAGCAGCTACAAGGAACCAAACAATACAGGGTGTGTACACATTTGAATCAATGAAAACAAGCTAAGGTGTAGAAAGCAGAGCCAAACAAATAATATATACTTCGTATAATGTATATTACTTCGTATACAATAACCAGAGTCTAGAAGGAGAAGCTAACCTACTGGGAAGTGCTAGGCAGACTAACACAGATGGAGAATAGATGTGATGATGATTGACTTTTTGATTGGAGAAAAAATTACGGAGTAGTTTTTTGCAGCCAAGAATTTTTACTTTGGCGCTGCCATAATTTTTTCCTTCACCGCCAAACCAGTTTCTAAAGCCTAGGTTGAAGTCGGAAAAAGATTCTCCGAATTTTATAATCCTTAATAACGGATGTAAAATAGTTTACAACCCTCCCCCACGTAAAATACTTTACACGGTACAATAAATATTTTTTAAAATGTTTTAAAAAAGTGCCCTACAGTTTATATTAAATATTTAAAACAAACGGTGTAAAATGATTACATCCCCACACTTCGCACGCAAAATGTTTACTTTACACCATACCAAACGGGCCCTAAATCTATAATATGGAGTGTTAGAAACACACTTAAAAAAATCACTACCATCATAAATTTTTTGTTTACATGCAGATTAACCATTCTGACTTCGGAGGCAACACCTACTATGTAACTTCGTTTCATCCGAACCTAAATTTTTACAATGGGGTAAGGATTTGGGGCTTGGGTAAAATGGCCTCCCGCCATAAGAAACTGATCTCTTCATCTTAACCGTCTGCGCTGTATGTAAAGACTCTTCAATTGAACCTCCAGTCCCCAATTTCAACCCAAGGGTATCTAAAGAAACTGAAGAATCTATTGAAAAAGACCTTTTGAGCCCCGAAACCCCACCACCGCCGTCAGATTCATGAACTCCGACCCCGTTTTCTTGATTTCCCGATCCATCGTCGATCTTGACTCCGACTTCCTCTGGGGAGTCGTCAGGAACAATGGAGGCCCGGCAGAAAGGGCAGTTGGTGTGGGAACTCAGCCAAGTGTCGATACAGGTCATATGGAAAACGTGGCTGCATTTGGGAAGCCGCCGGAGGGTATCGCCGTCCTGAAAATCGCTCAGGCAAACAGGGCACTCTGTTTTCCCGATCAAACTTTCTTTTTTCTTGTAGTTCAAAACGGCGATCGCACTGATCACCGCCGGCGGGAGCCCGACGGTCCGGATGTACCAGACTGGGTGATCGAACATCGGGTCAAAATCCTCCGGTCCCCGGTCGGAACGTCCCCGTCTCCACCCGGTGCAGTTCCGGATGATGATCATGTAGTAGCAGAGGAGGAGGAGGAAACTGGCTAGTAAGGCGGTGGCGATGATAATGTAAGGAGAGATGACCAGAACGTGTCCGATAGACGGCGGCGACAATTGGTCCGGGTATGGATAGGGGTTGCATCCGTTTTGACACGTCAGGTCACAGCTGCCATTGAAACAGCTATTTATTGCTAAGAGCTTTCTGTGCTTTGCGGCCATGGAAGAAAGAGGAAGGATTTTCAAGCGGTTACAACTTACAATTGGAAATAAACATGAAGTTTTGGTAGAGTTATTTATTTACATCATATTGCTTGAATTTTAAAATGGTGGAAGGAAGAAAGATTAAATAGTGATATCATCATATTGTTGAGGAATAAAGTTGTGCTATGTTTGGTACTCCCTCCGTCCCCAATTAAATGTCCCATTTTACCATATTGGGATGTCCCTATTTAAATGTCTCATACCTCATTTGGTAAAGTTTGTGTGGCTCAAAATCATTCTTACTTTATTCTTACTTTATTCCTACTTTATCAATTAATATCAACCACACAAACCCACTTTTCTTAAAATTCGTGTCATCCTCTTCCGGGACTTTTAAAAGGGGACGGAGGGAGTAACTGGTAAGGTTCATAGTATTAAAGAACAATAACATTCCATGTAGTCAAACCTTGATTTGGTTGACTATTTTTCATAAGGATGTTAGATATTTAGATAACCTAAAAAAACTATACACGAACTTATTTATCATTTGCAGTGACATGAAATGTAATATTTCAACGTAAACCTTAACTATTATGGAACACTGTGTATTATTTATTCTTATTTAATGTAAATTCTATACTGATAGTTAAAGATATACGAAGTAGTCAAGAATAATTTGGACGAACTTCCTTTCAAATTATAAAATATATACGGCACAAGTATAATTTCTGAAAAAGCTAATCGTCAAAGATAACATTCTTGACTTGAATATTCAAGCAGTCACGTTTACTTTAAATAAGAAGAACATAAGGAAGAAAGAATTGCTGATCATTTTTTAAAGGATTTATATAAGATGAAATCGTTTATATGAAAGACTTGAAATCATTTATATGCAAACACAATCAGCTAAAAAGAAATCCAAATTCTAGACTACGTACTACATTGTCGTCGTCATCATTACCTACGTTGGGGTAAAGAGTGGTCGGATGTACGCAGTCTTATCCCTGTACTAAAGAATAAAGAGACTTTTCGGATGATCTGTAGTGAAGATCGCATTGAAAATTGCATGGACCGACTGTTAATCCATAATAAAGAAGCATATATAGACAGTTTAGTAAGTCATTTTGTTTATTCTATCATATTCTCAAGCTAAAAAATAGTAAGTACAGACTACTACGTCGTGAGTATCATTAAGGCTTGATGTTTCTTTCTTCTATTATCCGCAATTCAACATACTTCTCATCAGACAAAATCAATTACCAATACCCATCTATTAAGACTGTGTTTGGGAGTTGGGTTTTGGAGGGGAGAGAAAGGTTGATGGGGGTTTATGACTCTCCTTTTCATGTTTGAGAGTTTATAAAATTGGAGGAGATGGTTTGGGAGGGCTTTCGTGACCCCCTAAAATCCTCTAAATGCACAATTTTTTAGTTCCCCCAATTTTGGAGGTAATTTAAGCTCAATTAAAAATAAATATCAGTTCAACCATTTGAATTTGTTATATCTCAAAGTGATTTTAATTATAATTCATTCAAAAACTCAATTCTTCCAAATTTATTACTCCCAAATACAAAGAAGGGCTTCCTCACTCTCCCCTCCTTTCCCCTCCAACAACATAACTCTGAAGCCTTCCCCCTCCTCTTCCCTTCAAACTCCCAAACATACCCTAAGGTAATGACAGTTTAACAGATAAACACAAAATAAACAATAGGAGCAACAAGAATGCAAGAAAACAAAAAATATAAACCCTTGAGAAGAGAAACACTGTCAAGAGAAAGTTTTACCGGCATGGGGATTAAATAATAAAAAAAAGACACACTACCAAGAGAAACAAATAGAGTATGCATGAGAGTAATTGAAATACAATGATGAATCAAACTTCAAATAACCGCTATGATAAATGATAATATGGTAAAATTCAAATTCCTTATTTATTTAAAAGAAAATAGGTGACAACTCTGTACCTACCATTCACTTAATTGGTCCAAATCATTATGTCAATTTTAATTTAGATTTAAATAATTCAACTGCATTGTTCCGATTGATCCATGTGGACAGAAGTATAGAACCTTAAGGGTACCATAAAATCTACCAATAAGATATACCTTTCAATATATGGGCCCAGACCCTGTGGCCCACATACTCAAAGAATTAAACTACTGAAGATAGACACCCACATTGCACCCCTTCGGCCGAGGGGTCCCCCATCCGCCAGAATCAAAGCTGCTCAGAGTACGACCCGAAGGCCCGGGATCAAAGTCGGTCTTTCATCGGCCAAGGATCGCATCGGCCAGGGGAAGCAGGTTGAAGCAATAATCTTCACCGACAGGGACCTGCCTCCGGGCCCTCCCTCTCGGTACATATCAGGCAAAACATTTCCACCACTTGGACGAAGCAAGTCCACATTTCAACTAAAAGGACAAAGCAGTCCCACCAAGCCACAATCACAAGATTAACAAATCCCCTTCATACGAAAGCATGCATGCTCTATCGGCCCAATCGTTACATATAATAAAAGCTTGAAGTTCAGCCGCAAGTATAACACCCCGCCCCCGTAGGGCTCAAGGTAGTTACTCCACATACTCTACGGACCTCTAGTACTATCCCCACAAACCACCATGAGCCTTTACCGTGCACTTTGTCCTCACTCGTGCGCGCCCTGAAAAACTTCCCAGGGGGTCACCCATCCCAAAACTACTCCCGTGCAAGCACGCTTAACTTTGAAGTTCTTGGGTAATGAGTTCCCTTAAAAGGAGATGCACCTCTATTGGTATGAGTAGTACTATTAATCCGTTTATATTAAATCTCAAGTGTTACAACAAGCATATCTTCGGCCCCTCCTTAGAAAAGGTCACGCGAAAATGAATTTTTATACTTAGAAAGAAAGTTCTTAACTATAAAAGATGGCCTCGCTACGGCCAAATTTGCAAAGGAAAGCACTATATCAAAGGAGACAAAGTCACTCCTTCTTCGGTCATGACAGGGGTCAATATATGTTCTCTGTACTTAAAAAATTCGCTCAAAGTATATGGAATAAATGAAAGTCGACGATGAAATACAAAAGCAAATAAAGAAACGATGATTCCATTAAGATAGTTACTGAAGTACAGAGGGGGTCGGGGCACGTCGGCCTTTGCAATAAACAGGCGCTTCGGTCTCTAATCTATAGCACCATGGTCTAACAAAAATTAAAGGGAAGCGGGGAACTAATATGCATCACCAGCTTGACCTCCACCTTGGCTGGAATCCTCCTCAGCCTCTCCATCTTCATCGTCTCTTTCGTCATCAGCATCATTTTCACCTTCGTCCTTGGAGGCAGCTGTATCCTCCAACATATCATCATCGCTCCACGGCTCTTCGCCTTCATCAGACCTCAAGATGGGGGTTGCCTTTGCTCCAAAGGAAGCTCAAGCTCATCTTAAAGGTGCTTCATCTTCCGGGGCAGGTAGAGGCCGGCGGGCTTCATTTTCTTGAAACGCCGGCGCAACTTCCTATAAACCAGCCTCTGCATTCGCCGACTTTAACGGGAAGGACTATTGTGCCTTCGGCGTCGATAGAGTCCCCGGTGAAGCCGGATAGTGGCGTCCGTATCGGCTTGAGCAGCGCCCTGTTTAGCTTTAGCTGTTTGAAAGTGTCATGGTACATAGATATATACGATGAAAATCTGGAAGTGGGTTCTCAGAAATTTCACCTCGGACGCACGGCGTGCGTCCCCCCAAGATCGGCGTGCGTCAAACTTTCGAATTTGACTATGCTTCCTTCATGAAAGTTGTAGATAATGAAGTCCTCTATCCACCACAACTTGTAAAACTTGATTTGAATCATCCAATAAAAATATTTAATTAAAATGGTGGAAGGTCACATTCTGAAATCTCAACATCGATCATCTAACTTCATCGTCTGTTTTCACCTTTCTCCTCTGATCAGATTCTCGTAATGGTGTCTCCATATGATTTATGGAACTTGAATCATGTCATTTGGATGTTTCTAAAAAAAGATATGCTTGAATGATTGATAGAAGGTCATCATGGTCGCCGTTTTCAAGCTCTATTCGTCTTATTTTGATCCCGTAGCCAATTCTAGAGCTCTTTTGTCATCAAATCTTCATCGTGAACCTCTCATGCTCACAATTCTCTCTCTAACGCGTCTTCACTCATCCTGATTGCTTCTCAAGCACTGGTGCCAGGCTCAAATTCCCTGGTTTTGACTCCAAAAATGCCAAAACTCGAACCAACGCCCGGTAAACATGACTTGAGCTAAAATGATACTTATGATACCTTAAAGTTAGGAAAACCGTCACAAACCGATCTCACACACGCATCAAATGCGTGTCGAAATACGGACTTATCAGACCCCCCCACACTTAAACATTTGCTTGTCCTCAAGCAAACTGAACAATGAGACTTACTATAATCACCACACGACATTACAATTATCAGCATGCACAGGTAGTTAAAGGGATACTCACAGAAAAGACCGACTAAACCAAAAAAATTCTTCCCTAAACTACCTCTTTGTACTCTGGCTAGAATTAATGACAAAATTATTCACAACATCCTCAAAGTAGTGATATCATACACTAATAAACTAGTTACAGATTAGAAGGACTTGTGAAAGATGGTGGTGAATGGTGAATGATAAGGAATAAATAGTCCCTTTCATTGAGAGTTTGGAACACCCTAACAAAGACTCATGTATTCAGGAATTTCATGGCTATTCTTAGGATCTAGCTAAGGAGTTCAGTAGGACACTAATTAGAAACAATCATCTTAACATATGCAAAGAGTAAACATGGTGTACAACTAAGCTAAATTGTCACTGCACATTGGTGCTTTGACGTATACTTGAGGTACGCGAAGGACTAATGCTAATTTCGCAAAAGCCTCCAAGTTCATTTAATTAAGTTCATTTTTCCTTGTCATGTTGACACGAGAACGTCATTTCTTTCGAAAGATTCCCAAGTCTCACTTTATTGTGCAAAACACTTACGCTTTTTGACCGGGTTTCCCATTCTCTTTTTCGCAAGGTAAAAGGTCTAGCTATTAATTAGTTTTTTAATTTTTCAGATTTTCATTAGACATTAACCCATTCTAATCTCGGCCTCACCAAGGAAAATTAGCAATTAAAGCTCAA